TTAACTTCTAACAGTAGATAGATGAAGTAGAAAATTATCAGAAGTAGGTGGCCATGAGTACCCGTATTGGGTTTACCTTTAATTGAAATCTCTTCCACACATTAGATAGCAGGTGCAGTTATTGACAAATCAATAATCAGAAATGAAGGGTGATTATTAATTTATTAAGATTAGCATGATAAGCTACTCTTTTCATTCCATATTATCTTTATGTGTTGTTTTCCGGTGCCAAACTTTGGCCTTTTATGTCTTTCTATTCCTATCTTTACCCTGCGTGTTCTTGCCAAACTTGTAGCCTGCCTAGCACTAAATGCAAATTTAAAACACCAACTAATAAGAAGGCAGTCACAAACGTGTATATAGAAATAATGATTTATAATTCCTGAATAAAAACAACACTCTTTGGTAACCTTTTACTGATGTCTTGATAATGTTCTGCAGGCTCCTGTCTTGTTTTTAATATGGCAGCAGTGGATCCCAAACACTTTGTTTTTCTGTGTATCGTCAAAGGTATTTTGCTGTGATCAAATGTGGTGGAGGCTTACCATTTCATTGTTTTAAACATCCTTTCTGAGTCTCAATGTCCAAATCACAGGTTCTTTCTTTCTCCCAATCCAACAAGCAAACCGATAGCTGTAGGCATAGAAGGATATTTGTTTATCTGAAATATAACAATATAAGTATATCTATATAGCCATAGTTTTTTATACACAATCTGTGAGGAATGAGGTTAGTGTGAAATGGAATATGTAATTTTGTTGTTCTATTATCACTTCCATGAGCTCCATCCTATTTAATAGGTAGACTGAATTTCATTACATTTGCTCGTGGAGATTATGTAATTTAGTAGAGGAATGAATAAAAAGTACAAAAATTTTATTTGCACCAGTCTTGTCTGTGTTTTGTTTAAAATGCTTCAACTGCATTACTGATCGGAGACTCGGAGTACTCCACTATAGAAGAAGTGCAAACAGTTTAAAGAGTCATTTCGTTTTACTCCACTATATCCCGAAGTAAAAAATAGTGAATTTTTGGTTCAATGGGACACAATAGACATCCTGTTTTCAATGCTTAAATACCAAAAAAACAAGAAATGGCGTGTGTGTGTGTGTTTGTGCAACTTTATCTTTGTTAAATTAGAGAACCCTTTGATGCATTTGCTACATTATTGCCCAGAATTTCATTAATACGGAATACAATATTATACTAGGGGGGTATAAGTTTGGGGTAAGGGAAAGTTTAATGTAGCAGTATTGATCCCGATGTTTTAAACACAGAGTTGAAAAAAGAAGAAAGTTTACTATAATACCCTTAATGAAATGGGTGGAGTGTATTAAATGAAGTGAGTGATGTGTAATAAATAAAGTAAGTGAGGGTAGTTGGGGTATTTTAATTGTTAAAAAATGAAATGAGAAGATCTATTGTGGACAAAGAAAAAGGGCTATTGGGAAGATCTATGGGGGACGGAGGGAGTATTTTAATACGGAACATGTTGGGCCAGCGTTGATGCAATGCTCAATTGTGATCTTTCAACAAATGAGGTCTATGTTCTGTACAACTTATTTTTTCTGTTTCTTATTTATTTTTATTAAAATTAGATCAGATTAATCATGTTAGATCTAATTAGATCAGATTAGAACTTCAAGTATTTAGATAAAATTCAATCAGATTAGGTGTACGGAACAGAGCCTAATCCTGGTTCCCTTGCACTTTCCTTTCTTTTTTTCTTTTAGAGGTGCAATTCTCTTATGTTTCCTTTTCCTTTTCATTTTTTAATATTATTTTTTAACATCTAAATTAACTAAAATAATTAAAGTAAAAACATAAAATACAATTAAATACTCCGTAGTACGAATTGCACTTAGAGTAAAAATTTTCTTAACTTAAAATTGCAATTGAACTTTTCATTTAAATTAAACTAAGGATTACACTAAACTCAAAATATTTTAAAATAATAGCGTGTAAAAGATACATATTAAAAGAATTATAGTATCTTGTTGCTTGAATTTCCAAGCAACCTCTTTGATATCTTGTCTTTCATTCTCATCACCACGAACGCACTATGGGACTAATATTCTCATTGTCGGTCATTATTTTGAAGTCTTTTTTTCTAAGTCGGTCTGGGCCAAAAAACCTACCGAATTGGATCGTTAGGTCCACAATGAACCCGGACCGATTGGATTTCAGGTCAGTCCATAACACTTAAGCATTCAGATTTTGGTTTGGTCGGGTCCAAATTCAAAATCTTTTACGTCTGTATTTATTGGACCTAATAACCTTACTGGACCTAAAAGACCTAAATACTAAACATCTACTTTTTAAGTACGGTAAAATATATTAATGTTTTATTTTGATAGATATCTTAATTTATTTAATTAAAAATATTTTTTATTAAGTAATTTTTTTAACATCTCAAAAAATATATATTTCATATTAGTTTTTAAGATTATACGTAGAAGTAGTTAATGTTGTGTATCTATTTTTAATTTATCCATTTTTTATATTGTTTCTTGATTTGCATGGTAGAGCTAAAAAAGCCTAACATATACTTGGTCCGTCCCTGAGTGTTTGTCTACTTTTGACTTTTGTAACTGTTCATCTAAGCACTTTGACTTATCAAATTCTCTCAATGTGTAAGCCTAAAAATAGTAATGTGTGATTTTGTTTGATTCGTCTTAACATATAGATTATTAATATATAATTTTTATAATTTTTTAATATACAAATTACAAGATAAAATGGATTAAAGAAGTACATTGGATGGTGTGCAAAAATGAAAGTGGACAAACACTCAGGGACGGAGGGAGTACTAATTAATAGATCAAAATAATTAAAAAATATATTTTTTGATCCAATCGGTTCGGACCAGTTTGGCTCGAATCATTCCGGTCCAGTCCAAACCCGAATACATTAAGATCCAGTCTTTGGTCCGTGATTTTGTTCAGTTCGATCTTCGGTCCAGTTCAATCTTGGACCGATGAACAGCCCTACAAGCCATTGCTGTTGGAGCTCAAACTTCTCCGCTGTTGATTAACATTCGAGCTCAAGTTTCTCCGCTCTCGCTTGATGGGAAGCCTCTGCAATTCTATAAAAGGTCGACAAGGTAGTGGTGAGATTCATGAACCCTTTCACCACAAGTTCGGCGGCTATTTGCCAAGATGCCTCTTTTTTGCGTGATTCCTCTTTATTTGTCGTTTCGACTCCATGGGCGTTGGTATGATATCATCATCATCACTTTTTGTTCAACATGCAGCGCGCATCAGATCCGACAGGACCGTAGTCTCTCGATTTGGGTGTTTTGGTCCATTTTGACTGGGCGACTTCTTTTGGAACACGGGGCCCACTTTAAATTGTGGCTGAAAATTTTTCACGCCTTATGATGCCGGAATAGACAAAATTCCATTTGAAAATTTTCAAGCGTCATCCTCAACACCTCTTTGTCACTTGTACAACCTGGATGGTTGATGTAAATATTATTGTAGAAATAAAAAAAAATTTGAATTTTTTTGCTCATACCCAGTACTTGGAAGCAATGAAGTTGACAAGGTGTTAGATTTCTAAAAAATAATTTTATTGTTGTGACTACACTTAAAAATAACACATTTTAAGTGGCCTACTTACCCCAGTAGAGGAATCAAAGCACAAGTAGTTCAGAATATGGTTGGTAAACCTTCAAGGCGTGTGATCAATGTGAAGACTTTCCTAAAAATTTCTTATAGATCCTATGATAAGCAACACACTTTAACACTTTACAAGATAGAACTTTTGAAATACAACTAAGAAGACCAAATTGTTTGGTTGCTCTACAATACAACTTGCTAATGTACTTTAATAGAATTGTCTCAATAACAAAATAAAAAACCTAAAAAATATTTAATAATAAATTATTCATGTACATTTTATCATTAGTTAGTATTTCATCACCATAGAATAAATACAAGAAATAATTACATTATTTCTTTATTAATCTAGATAATCAATGAAATAATAATTAAAAATAAATCATTCTTGTACATACTATTATAAATTAATATTTCATCATCATATAATAAACAATAAATAAATAAATAAATAAATAAATAAACAAATTATTTCTTCAATATTTAAGATAACCAACGAAATCATAATGAATAATAAATTATTTTGCAATATTTCCCCCCTCCTCTTCACATTGTGGCCAGTGCCCTTTATATAGAAAAAGTTTTTTTGCCTTTTAATAATGGTCACGTCTCTTATCTTAAATTCATGTCCATTAATTTAGAAAACTTCTATTTTGAATTCAAAATAAAATTTCAAGAGTTGTAGGGAGTATTATTTACTAATGAACATAACTCTTCAAAACAAAGATTGTATCCATTCATTTCATGTTCAAAATAAATCTCCAACACAAGGCAGTATAGCTCTGAATTTATTGACTCATGAAATTTGTCGGTAACCTAAGCCTAAAAACCATTGCTTGTTTGAGTATTTCTTGTAGACGGATGACAAAATAATTTTAGTGAAAAAAATTGTAAAGAAAAAGTTATTAAAAATTATTTTATTTAGAAAAAACAATTAATTGAGGCGAAATGCACCTTTTATCGGTCTTCAAAAACGTTAACCCAAGCTCAGGTCAATGCTTCCTTGGCCAAATAGTTCCGGTGCCCCCTGTGGTTTGGAAAATTGGAACCAATACCCTATTCGTTTTCAAAACTTATTTCTAAAGTTTCCGTGGTTTCAAAACGTTGCACTCACACTCCTTTAATCATTTTCTGGCCATTTTCCGACGAAGAGGGGCATTGACGCATAGTTTTTAAATCATAGGGGGCATTTGTGCTCATTTCTTATTTTCGTTTATTGTTTGTGTTTTCCTTTTTTCTTTTAAATATTTTCTATCTCTTTTTCCTTTTCCTAGATTTTTTTAAAAAAATACATTTTCAATTTTTATAATGTCTTAAAAATTTTAAAATTCTTTGTGTTTGAAATAAAAAAATTAACATACATTACATCTATCTCAAATCAAACATGTTTACGCTCTTGGGGGCACTCTGGTTGCTTGTTCGCCCTTTGCATGTTCCCTTACCTTTCAATTTTTTTTTTAAATTTTTTTCGAGCACAACCTTTTCAACACTTTCCTGTTAAATGGAAACAACATCTTTTGTAGAGAAAAAAATTACGGAGTACTTAACTATATGAAACATCAAATAATGTAACATGATTTAATCATATATTAATTACCCATAGGATAATTTAATCATAGATAATATATTAACATTATTTTCAACATATTTCTTATCTGATCTAATATGCTTGGTTTTGATAATTTTATTTGAACATATATAATTGGATCTAATAGAAATGAAATTGATTTGATCTGAATGAATCTAGTTTGATCCAATTTTAATAAGAATAATTAGTAAACCGAAAAAGATATGTTGAACAAAATGTATCTGAAGTTATAGAATTCCAAGTTAAAATTTTGAGAGATACATGTAGATATTGTATTTCGAGAGTATTTTCATAAAATTTCTAATTTTTTTAAGTATTTAATAGATTTACGAAAACAAATTGTATAAATGTGTAAATGTTTTTTAGTCCAATAAAAATAAGAAAAATATAGGTCACATCAACTTCTCTTAATTTTTGTGTAAGAAAACGACTATAATATGAGTAAAATATAGAGAAGCAATCAAAATAGACTCTTAAAAATATTATGACATGTCAATGCATTGCGTCACATTAGCACAATACAATAATTTTATTTTAAATATAAAAATATAACATCCTTATTCTTGGGATAATGTTTACTCCAGGTTCTATTTTAGAATAATGCTAGAGTCACAAATAACTTAAATACAAACTATACAAACTTGCTATTTGTGTATCTAAATTTTTTACTTTTTAATTATTTAAAATAATTTTATTTACTTTGAAAAGCGAACAAATAGAAAATTTATATAGTTTGTGCCAAGTTGTTTGTCATTCTAGCATTACTCTTTATTTTAGTTTTCTTCTTAGGAGAACTCCCTACATATGAGTAAAAAACTGTGAAAATACCAAAATAGGAGTCAAAGTCTTGTAAGACTAAAATAGGAGTAACACTGTCATTGACACACTATCACATTCACCACATTATCACATTGTAACTACCATGCTATCATCGTCACATTGCCATCTGTCAGCGCCAGTGTTGCTGTGGATCACTAACATAGGAGTAACACTGTCATTGACTGATCACACTGATGTATTACACTGTCATCATCATTTCAACACACTCTCAACGCATATTCTTACATTACGCTGCCATAATACTCTTATTTTGGTTTTAAAAAACTTAAACCCATATTTTAATATTTTCATACTCCATCCGTCCCTAAATATTTGTCACACTTGTATTCGCGAGGCAAAAATCAATTTTTTTCAATTCATTTTATTTACATATTGGTAAAGGAAGTAAAAAATAAAATTTACATATCAAAAAAGTAAATGAAAAGTTCTTCGAAATAAGAGGTGTTAGGAATATTTTATTTTATCAAATAATTAATGAAAACGTAGAAATAAACAAAAGTTCACGCAACTGCTAAAAAAGCAAACGTTGCAAATAATTTGGGACGGAGGGAGTACTTTTTTTTACACATATGTAGGAACTTTTTTTCTTATTAGACCTATATCCATTTTAGTCGTATTTGTAGAGAAATATGAAAAGGGAGTAAAAAATGATAGAGAAATACGAAAAGTGTGTAAAAAATGACAATTGTAAATGAAATTTGTGGGGGGACAGACAAAAACCCTTTTTCCCTTGTACTCCGTATGTATCTGCTTCCAAACTAAAGAAGCTGAAGAAACACACACTTATAATTGGCGTTGAGAGCTTTCTTCCATCACTGTTGTTTCTCTAATGGTAACAATGTCTCCTCTTTCGATTCTTCCTTTACGTTTTGTACAAATCTGAAATCTTACAATCTCCACAGAACTTTTCCTAGACGTTTTTTCCCCCAATTTTAAGATTTAGTCCCCCTCAAATGTTAGGGTTTTGATATTACTTCAACAATGTTTTCTCCCTGGATACCATGCATACAATCTGTGCTTTTAGGGTTCTCAAGCTTGAATTTCGAAGCACTTGTTTGTGTGTGTTTAATGATGGCACGGATGGACACTAACAAAATATTTGATAGTTAATTATATCTATGTTTCTAGTTTAAAATAAAGTAGAAAAAATCAATTGGAGTTCTATCTATGTCTTAAAAGGTTGATTAAAATTTCTGAAATAATGAATAATACGGAGTATATAATATTGCTTCAAGTTAGTCTTTGTGTGTGAGAGTTTCTCAGGGATACTCGATCTGCAAAATGGTTAAAAAGTAAGGGATCAAGACAAACATTCGTTAAAGAAACACTAGCATTTCTTGTGTGGGAGAGAAATGAATTTTCTCTTCCTCTGCCACAAGTGATGAACATAAGTAGTTCCGTGTGACAAACAAAAGTACATGTGTTCGTATTCCTGCTTTTATTGTTTATGATTGTTATTTTCTTCATAAAATGTACTCGCATTACTTTTACTCTGTAACATAATTGTTTCTTTTAAGTTAAAAGTTAACACTTTTATGTTCGTAAATCTTGTTTCAGTATTTTTTTTTTTGGGATGAAGTCATGGAGGTAGTATTTATTAATGTAAAATTAAAATGCATGTAGTTTGTACTACAGTGTCAACCATATCATTAGAAGACAAAAAATAATCCTTTGAGTTGATAACTACTCCCTCCATCCCATATTTCCATGATACTTGTCTCATTCACTATTTGTATCTTTTTTCCTTACATATTTTTGTTTATCCATTGTTATAATAACATAGTTCCATAGTCATGCCACATTTTGTTTTATAGAGCTTTTGATGTAGTGTATGTGTGTATAAAATTTTGAACAGAAATTTAAGTAAATTGAATTGAAAATTACTTCACTCAAGCATCGTAAACTGAAATGGGCCCACTATAATTACATTATTTATTTTTTTTGGAGAAATTTAGGAATTTTTAGGTACAATGTATTAAGTACTTTCTAATAAAACCCCTTGAGTAAAATAGTAATTGTGACCCTTTTTGAATAAAAATACACTTTGTTATAAATTATTTATTAATAAAGTTCTTTTTGATATAATTGTGATACTTCTACAAAGAAAAGTACATGTAAAAAGTAAAATTAACCTTCCTGAGAGGTGTATGATTCTCTGTCTCCTTCATGGCAGGAGGCAACCAGCCTGTGGTTGTTGCCTCGTATGGAAATGAACATTGATTTAGAGGGAGACTGAACTGGTTGTGGAGTGGAGATAGGGTTTGGAGTTTGGAGTTTGTAGTGGGCAACACAGATTTAGGTAAGAGCGTGTTATTTGTTCATTTGAATCCATTTTTGAAGTCTGTCCATCACAAGTTTTTATCATTGCTTTGTTTATGAACAATTACTAATAAGGCCAAATTGTTACTATGTGTAATCTCAATAATGTTATTCTTCAGAAATGCTTTTAAACACATGGTTTAATTTTATAAGGCAATCAAAGTTAGCCTCTGCACATAGAAAAACACGAGCCACTTTTCTGGAGCTATAAAGGGTGGATATATTGTCCATCTGTGCTCTTTTTAAATTGCCTTGTAGGCTAAAAAATATTCTATTTTCATAGTTCTGCTGGGTTCTTAACTTGGCTCCACCTAGGAGTGTGCCAGTATCCGTTCAAGATCCGACCGGTCCGGACCAGTGTTGTTTTTTCTTGACGGTTTTCAGTCTGGACCATTTTTTTTTTTAAATTACTCCGTATTTTAGCATCATCCTACTCTACTGTTGCCCTACGTCTTACTTCACTAACTTCAAATTACACAATTGCTTCAAACAAACAGACCCAACCCACTCGGTCCCTCCATCTTCATTCTTCACGACACCGCCTCAGACCCTATCGGCGCACACTCACACGGTCTGATCGGCGCGCGCTTCCACGGCTCGACTGGCGCACACCCTCACCAGCACAGCACCACACCGCCCTTCACCACAGGACAGAGGCGGTGACACAACTTTCCCAGGTTTGTTCAAGCCTTCATTTTTTTTTTCAAATTGGCACATTAAACTTTCCTTCCAACTTACTTTCTATGAAGTTTTGGGCAGTATATGCATCATTGTATCAAGGACCTAATGAAAAACATCTGCTTTTTATAGGGGCAAGGTTGGGTACATCTTTCATCTCCCAAACCCAATTGAGTTGGGATTATACTGGGCTGCTTTATTGTTGTTGTAGATGTTAAATATGCTTAGATTCTTGCTTGCTTTATATCTAGGATTTAAGGTTTTATTTTTTGGGTGTGATAATTTCTCGGGGATCTGTTTTTAAATTTATGATTTTCTCTGTTATTTCAGTTTGTTGCGATTATCCTTGAATTTTTGTCGTTTTTATTATATTTTTCTTTGACTTGAAAAAAGTTCTTGCTCTTTGAGAAATTATGTTCAAGATTTTAATATCCAACTAGTCTGGATGGAAAAACATATATCCAGACTAAACCAATTTTTTTGGTGTGATATGTGGTCCGTAACTTTTAGTAATTTTGGCCTTTGGTCTGGTCCTGCCCAGTCATGGACCATGGCACACCTCTAGCTCCACCATAGGCTTGTGGGGCTGGGCTGGGGGGTTTAGGGGAGGGGGTAGGAACCATCATTTTAACGTGGTGACAGGTGTATAAGTTACTGGTGTCATTTTAGATGTTCTCTCTCTCTCTCTATGTGTGTGTGTGTGTGTATGCCTTGCTTCTAGCCTTAGAAAAGGTCCTCTTTCCTTTCGAAGCTATAATGGTACTACGATGGTCTGTTATATTTCCACCACTGCCATCCTCCACAACTATGGCAACTGTTTGGCAGATGGGTTTTAACTAAAAATGTTTACTACAAGAAACCTACTAACCTAGTGTAGTTCCAACTTTGTCGGGGTTTGGGGTGAGGTGTACCCAACCATATCCTGTTAAAACTAAATGGCTGTTTCTGTTGGGTTCTTGATGCATTTACCGCACTAAACTTTATTGAGAGTAAGAGGCAAGTGAGGCTTAATTTTCCATTTTGATAGAGTCCATTATTTACCTGAAGACTGAAGTTAAAACATTGTCAAAAGTGGCCCTCTTAGCTCCATTGGCAATAGACACTTTTAACATTAAATGTATTGCCTAAAATTTTTTCCTAATATGCGGGTCATCCTTTCTTTCATGCAGTTATGCAAAGTGTATTTGGTAGCAATTGAGATTCTTAGCAACCTGCTACATCTATGACTGAATGGGTGGCCTAAAATTCTACTACGTAATTTTTTTTTAAAAAAATCATTGAGTTCCATATTTTTATGGGAACAGTGAAAAAGGTATTCAGATGCTTGGTAGATTTCCCAAGGAGCAATCTTTTTTAATGGTCGCGTATACGACGCCTTTATTTCATTCCCCTTAGTATCTATTGTTATCTAAATAGCATCCATGCCAGTTTATAGGATGTTGTGCACCCACTGCAGCTCTGGAATGTGATTCCATTGTTTATGAAATAATGAACAAATTCCCACTTCCGTTTCTGGTAATGTCAAATTGAATTTTGATGGATGTTTTTTTGCCTATTTCACTTTGGTTTCATTTAGAATATGATACTCTTCATGGAGAATTAGTCTATAGTAGTATTTTTGAATTTAGCTTGCTAGGAAGATCATGATGGTAGTATAGGTAATATTTGTATTTACTGTTTTTTATTATGAAGTTATGACTTGAGAATTGAAGTATTGAACTATGAGTAGAGGATATTCAACATTGCCTCGAGCCCTCGACGTGTCCTCTTGCTTTCTGCACTTGTGTAATTGTCTTATTTTTTCACTGCTAGGCTACCCAATTTAATAATACAGTGGATCGTGGCTTTCAACATTTTAATCTCTTCTTGGCATGCTCTCATTATCTTTGGTTGTTAGTGCAGGCTAGTAAACATACAATTATTCTCATGCAAACATCTCCGAATAGAGCAACTCGCACTTTTATGGATTATGATTCTATTAACCAAGCAATGGATGGTATGAGTTCTTTAAAGACAATTCTATATACTTAATGACTTATAGGAATGTAAGTGGAGCCTATCAATTATATATACTCCCTCCGTTGCAAAATAAACTTCATACAGCCCTTCTTTGTCCGTCCCAAAATAAACTTCCTATTTTCCTCGATTCCTTTAAGAGGAAAGAAACATGTGGCTCACAACATTTCTTTCTCTTTTAACAAAATTCTAACCACACTTTTCAGTTTTCAGTGCTTCTTAAAATCCGTGAATTCAAATGATGATGTTTATTTCGGGATGGAGGGAGTATAATGAGATGTTTAAAGAGTAACAATGAAAAGCCAAAGGGCTCCAAGAAAATATGTAGATTGCGTTACATACTGAACACATGTTTATTTACACCTTGTCTAACACTAAATTTGGAAAGTAGTAATACAAATAGCACCATTCTCTTGAAATCTGTTAACATATAATGAACTAATGTGAAAATACACTACAAACACCATTATAGAATCTTGGACCGTTGATCGGTTTCTGTCAATTCACTTATCTATCTAGATTAATTTCCTATCCTGCTTTAGTTTAGCACCCAACCCTTCCTCACACAATTGTGCTCTACCTTATGCCGATATTTCTTTCTGCTGAATTCATATCATATAGGATATACCAGACAAAGCATTCTCAATTGCTGTTTAATATCATCTGCTGCACTACCTATCAAGTTTCCACTAATTTTTTTACTCCACACAACCTCATGTTACATGATATACATTGGCCATTAATCAATGAAATCTGAGAAAGTAAAAGATGCATATCTGTTATGGTTTTAAGTCAATTGCTCATAAGCACAAAATATGATGATGAAAACTGATACAAAAAAATTTATCGCAATGTAAGAAAACTGGTTTTTTGTTACCTGTTGAAGTTACTTTTGGTCTATAGGATGTTCCTTTTCTTTCTTTCTGACCCGTAAAAGTTCAAAGTAAGTGGGGAGTTAGGTTGTCAGATTGATATTGAAGTTAATGAGAAACACCAAACACATGTTTTTTGTGCCCATCACATATCATTATTTCACTCATATTTATCTAATATGAAATCAGTGAATGTGGGTTAAAAATTTAAAATAACTCGAGTAAATTAAAATTTTAAATGTCAGGATATGTTATAGAGACGAAAAATGGAAGACTATTTATTTGACATGTTTCAAACTTGGTTAACACATGCTATTAATTTATATCAAACCCAAGTCCAAGCATGATAGTTTTCATTTCAGCTCGTTTCTAAAGAAGAAATGTGAATCTGTCATACAATGATTGAGGACATGAGTTCATTATTTTTCATGGTTTATGTGTGTGTGTGTGTGTGATCTCCCTATTTTCAAGAAGGACGTGTGAATTTTGTTTAAAAGGAGATAAGTCTTGAGTGAGATAAAATGATGAATGGTTTTGTGAGACCTCCCACTACCACACTTTTTATTTAAAGGGATATGTTTTAATAGTTGATAAAGTTGTTTGATCAGAGTCCGGGTCAGACCAGACTTGGGCTGGTCCTAACCGGACTACCCGGTCTAACAAAGACCAAAGTAGTCCAATAATGAAAAAAGATCAAACCGATCCAGTACCAGTCTTTCAAAAGGAATTATTTGGTCAAGGACCTATTTGGCCAGACTGCTTGGGTCCTTGTGCTCATCCCTAACTATGCCTACAAATTTCTGGAACATCATAATTTTTTTCACAATGAATTCAATACAAAAATCCAAATGATTCAAGCTGCTCCTAAAAGATTTTCATGAAGTTTGTGAATTCAATGTGCGCTTGTATTACCATTTACATACACCGCTGTACATGAAAAGAAAAGGAGCATCACTCATTTATCCTTTACCACTACGCACAGGGTAGCAAACCCTTTTAAGCACTAATTTTATGGAATCTTGTGTATTTGAGCTTCTCTCTGAATGTTATATTTTCAAGGCAAAGTTTTAAACTTTTATAGTATTATGATTATGACAAATTGATAACTGGCATGTCCCCACTTGGTTGCAGGAATTTGTGCACTATATGAAAGAAAGCTCAAGGAGTTGAACCCAACCATAAGAAACATCTCTTATGATATCTCTGATCTATACAATTTTGTGGATGGACTTGCAGACATGAGTGCACTAGTGTATTTCTCTCTCTCTCTCTCTCTCTCTCTCACACACACACACACACACAAATCATGCACGTGTTCGCTTTTATAAATCCCATTTAAGCACAAGTGCAGAATCGTTCTAAGATAATCCAGTTTCCATTTGAACTAGCCGTTACGCTTCGTGCATCTGAAACTTCCCTCTATTTAATAAGCTGCAAGTCACGTGCTGATTTCTTGCCATTTTTGCAGCTTTGAACACTCAATTCAGGCTTACTTGCCTTATGACCGGCAGTGGATAAAGAGGAAGACATTAGACCATTTGAAGAGATTGGCATCATCAAATTGATATGGTACATGAAATTGCTGAAATGAAAGCTGTTATGAGTTGTGCAGATCCTTAATCAAAATACTCTTTTGTGTGTCACTCTATCTTACTATTTGTCTAGTATTTGCAGCATCATATTGAAGAAGTTGATTCTTATTTTGCCAATTTTAGTTTGTTTCCGTTCTGATTGGCTCTCCCCAGACTGCCCCTTATTGCTGTGTAAAAAAAGCCTATGCTTCAGTTTATTAGTATAGCTATTAATGTAATGACTTTTTGCTACTTTTTTTTTGCATGAATTTATGAGGATGTAAAAGCTTTGTTCATGATGATTTGTCCACTATTGAGTATTATCACGAACGTCCATGGACATGCATAGAATCCCCATCCCTTTTTTATAAAAGGGTAACTGTTTTTGCGCTTTAAACTTTGTTACCTTATCGATATTTTTGGCAAGAGACTCTCTTAGGGTTCATTTGGTTCACGGAATTGACGGAATTGGAATTGAATTGGGAGTTACGGAGTAAATTTTTATGGAATTGATTTTGATGGAATTGAATTCTCTAATTCTAAATCATTTTTGACACTATCAATTCTAAATCCATATATACCAAACAACAGAATTGAAATTATTGTTCCCAATTTTAATTTCATATTTTGAATTCTGTGTATTAAACAGAGGCTTATATTCTCAGAAGAACTATTGTACAACAGTATAAATTATGTAAATAAGTTCAATCCAAGGATTTGAAGTATGGAAAATTTAAATTTGAATGTTTTACTTTCAAGTAGGTGTAAGGTTTGTGTAAACTTTCATTCCTCAAACCTTACTTTCATGATATTATACTGGGTTATCGTGGTACATGAAGGATTTAGTGTCATGATTGTTCATATGCGTTACCATCTTTGACATTATAATTTTAGCTGATATTGTATACAGTGATTGTGGCATGTGACAGGAAATGGATCAACACATACAAAGTATTTTTTTAATGTATCAACTCGAATTTCTTTTTAACAATAAATTTTGCTCTTATTTTGATTAAAATATGTGATTTCTATTTTGGTTTATTCTTCATGTTTTACGGAGTAATACTATTCTGGTCTTTTTTCTGTCATAAATTTGAGTTTAAGCATGCACCTTAAAAAGCCTTATACTAGGGAGTAATTAACTGGCTTGAACTTATTTATTTTGGTTCAATGTATCTCGATCTTCCATATGGCGTAAATTATATCGTAAATCCGGTTTTACCGAATTTCCGGTATAACCGGCTAATTGAGGAACGAATGAGATGGAACGGATGTTGGAAGCGTAGTGGACCAAAAGTAGTATTTTTATTATACAAGGAGCAAAATATTATAACACACAAATATTACAACCTTACTTTTTACAAAATAACTCTCAAACTCTCTCTTTTTCTTTCTAGTGCTGCGGCACTTGTTTCTTTTTTTTTCTTCTCTTGTTGATTACACACCTATGGAGTATACAAGCATATATATTTATAGGCTAATAACCGACCTAAGGAAAAAACTAGAAAGCTGTCATTTTCATGCTTCTCTACCGCCACTTTGTTTATTTATGGTGCACATGGATAAATCTCTTATGCAGCAATTTTTGACCAATTTTAATGTTTGGTTTGATTTTCAACAACGGAAGCCGCCAGAATTATTGCCGCTCCTCTATTTGCCGGGTCGGGCCACCAGAGACGAAAGACGATGGAGCAACAAAGACGGAAGACAATGGAGCAGTGAAGATGACGAGGAACGATGGTGGCGAAAATCTTGCAAAAATGATGGAGAAGGAAGATCGAAGGAGCAGAGAAGGTAGCGGTAACGTTACAGATTGAGGTTGTGGGTCGGGTCGCGTAGATCGAGGAAGAAAGCCACTGAAGATTGAGAATAAACATTAAGTTATTTGAGAATGAGTACTATTTTTATTCAAAATGAACACTACGTTATTTGTGGATGAATATTATAATTATATTGAATAAATGTGTGAAAATGAGTACTACATTATTTTAGAATTAGTACCTACGTTATTTTAGAATGAGTACTACGCTTTTTCAAAATGAATAGTTATGTTTGTGCGAGAATGAAGTATTACTTAAACAGAAGGGTAATTTAAGCAAATACGGAGTAAAACTTAAACATATCACTTTTTTCAAATAGAATCGGTCTTATTTACTCTAACATTTGGCAAAGGAAAGTTGTAAAAATCAATTAATATCATTCTTTTTTAAAACGGAACGGTACGATATCATGTCATGTTAAAACCGTTCTAAAAAAATCAAGCATTCATAATTCAAATATTGAAATGAAAGACAACTTTTTATAAAAATATAGAGCACAACTTTTTTAAAAGATGTGTAACTTTATATATGTACACATGAAGAATTTATATAGAAACACTGTATATCCAAATTTATAATATAAAACTTTTCAAATACAGGTAAAGAAGAATTTTGTTTTTGTTCAAATTTTAATTTCTTACCCATTTATTTGAATTTATTATTTATTTTTGCTCATTATTGTGTGATACAACTCGACCTGCAATTATTTTAGTCTATAAAGTGTTGACTGAGATTGCTTTTATTGATCGAGATAATAATGGATTATTTATGTCAAGTTTTCCTTTCAATTATTATTATTATAAAAAAAGCTAGTGATGCTTACATGGTCCCAAAGTTTACATTTAAAATATGAATTTTCTCACATTTTCATGTCTTTAATGGGGATATTTTCAAGTTTGAAAAATGTCCACTTCTTTTATGCTATAAATACACTAAGATCCGTAACATGAGCATAGACCTTAGGTTCACGAAATTACTCCCTCCGTCCCATTTTATAACGCCTGTTTCGGTTTACGATATTTGACTGAAATTATTTCAAATCGTTTTATATGACAAATGGTATAGAGTTAAAAAATAAAAATTACATATTAAAATACTACATCAAAAGATCTACAAAACTAGTAATGAGCTAATGACAATAGTATTTTATTTTATCAAATTACTAACAAAAATAGAGAAAGAAAGTAAATGAAGTTTGACCCTGTAAATAGTGAACATGCATTATAATTTGGGACGGAGAGAGTAAATAATTTGCCAATAGAAAATAGTGCTCTCTTTATCCACTAGTTTTGAAATGGGTTAGTGACATTACTGACATGCAAAATAAGAAACAAAAGATAGTATTGGTGTTGATGATGAAAAGTGTAAGAGAAAATAATAATGAGTGCGACCCACAAAAGTTTTAAATTATTATACATATGATTTGAAAAAAAAAATAATTTGACATAGAAAAATAAAAAAGTGACAAAAATTGAAATACATAACGCATATTATATTTAAATAAAAATATGATATTTCAAAAAAAAATACTAATATTAATTTCAACACTTTATTTTTTCAACATCTTCCAAGTTCTTCAAGCTTCTTCCAACTCTTCCCTTTTTTAAAAAAATTTCTTGAAGTTTTTTCTAACTCAGTTTCTTCAAATGTGAACTCTGTTTTTTCAACCCAAAAGAACATGCTCTTAATTTACAAGTTTATGTATAAGAAAAAATTAATTATGTATTACTCCCTTCGTCTCAATTTATAATACCTGTTTCGATTTATGATGTTTGACTGTGATGGGTGTATTCCACTCAGATCAGTCCCTAATTTCGATAAATTCATCCCTTGGAGATTACCCGGTGTAGTTCTAAGGATTGGAAAGCATCGACGAAAGGGGATCTAGAGCTGTTTGGATTATAGCGCCCCACACCGCTGGAAGATCAGGGAGATGCTGGAGGAATCTGTCCAAACCAGTACGCGACAAACGGAATAATCCCCCTAGCGAGGTGACAAGGTGACTAGAAGACAAGGTCCATCACCTCTGACCATCCGAGCAGCGTGCCTCCATGTGGGATCACGTGGTCCTGCNCCCCCCCCCCCCCTAGCCTAGTATAAATACTCGTGTAAACCTCAGAAAGGGGGATCCGAATTCACTCTCTCTAAACTCCCTTGTAAAAGTGACCGTGCATTCTCTGTTTTAATATAATTCGGGCTACAGGTGTTCCACCTAAAGTCCTACCGGTCATTCTGAGTGTTTTTACTTTCTTTACTTTACTGAATCGTGCCAACTATTCTAAACCCGGTCTAGTATAGTTTGACCGGTCAAGTAATTTACACCATCATTTTTGGCGCCATCCGTGGGACCGTTAAGGTTTTTTCTTTTCTAAACACAAACCTACCCACAAAAACACCACTCAAAATGTCTTCCAGTCAGCAAATCAACGCTACCTCTGCTCAGGTGCAAGCCACCACTGAAGGCACCAGCATCCCCATGGTTGCTACCCTGCCAGCCGTTTCTACTCCGGTTTTGCCGATGGGACTGAGCTCGGTCCCAACACCCAGCATGGTCAGCCCATTCACGGCCCCCGTCCCTTCTGCCGGGCCAAGGGTCACCTTTCCACCAAGCATGACCCAGTTCATGAATGACCCAGCCAACTTACAAGCCATCCAGGGCTTTGGCCAGGTCATGGCCATGTGCCAACAGAATGGGGGGATGCCTTTCCTCCCAGGCATGTTTCCATTCGCCCTTCTAGGTGCTGGAACGATGCCCCTTCAAGCTCCGATGGCAGTGACGCCATTCCAGACGCCGGTGCCGCAACCATCACCTTTCCAGCCGCAGCTGGTCAGCACCATGGCACCTGTCAACTTGACTGGTGCGCTCAACGCCGCAGGGCCGTCGCGTCCCCCGCAAGGTACGAATCCACTAATCACCCCCGATGGTCACTGCGTCTCAGTGGAGAGCGGAAACGACGAGTGGGACATTCCAAGGACCCACAAGAAGAAGAAGGGAAAAACCATCCGACCCGCCACCTCCCGAAACTCCGCCTTCGAAAGGCTGGGGGATAGGGAGGAGGGCCAGAGAAAATCGGCCAAGCTAAGGCTGGGGCAAAGCGTTGCCCATGTTAGCGCGTTTGCCCGGTTAGGCGAGATGATTGAGGCCGAGCCTGCCCGCACCCAACGCTCCCGGTCAAACCGGCAGGAGCCAGCCAGGACGAAGGCCTCTCGCCAGGAGGAAGAGGCAGAAAGCCAACCCAGGGTACTGGTGGCTAACAGGTTAACCACCCCCAATGATCACGTCCAACAGATGGAGGCAAAGCTGGAGAGGCTGGAGAAGAAGGTTGGAGAGAAGAATGACCGGGACAAACCCCTCGCAGGGTCCCCGTTCACTACAAGGGTCCATCTGACACCTTTTCCACGAAAGGTCAAGATAGACGCCCCAAGGTTTACCGGTAAGGAGGATCCAGAAATACATCTGGATTCTTTCAATCAGAGTGCAACCATGAATGGTTGTACAGACGAAGAAAAGTGCCTCCTTTTCTTCCAAACCTTGCGAAATCGAGCTACTGAATGGTTCAACAAGCTTCGCCCAGGAAGCATTGACTCATTCAGTGACTTGGCCTCAAAATTCAAGGCCAAGTTCCAGGAGAACTGTACTAAGAGGAAGAAATTCACCTATCTTAGTACAGCCAGGCAGAGGGAATCTGAGAACCTCACCCAATTCCTTACCCGGTGGAAGGAAGAGGTAGACAAGGTGGAAGAGATGGATGACAAAACCGTCTTGTCCCTTCTCTTGAATGGCTTACGTGCCGGGGAACTAAACAAGGAGTTCTGCCGAAAACCCCCGGCCACGTATCAGGAGGCCTACCACACTGCATGGGAGTTTGCTGAGGCTGAAACTCAACTCCGGGCGAAGAAAGAAGCTGAGCATGGTTATAAGCCCAAGCCAGTGCAAGTCAAAAAGGAAGAGGCACCGGTAACCAGCCGGCCAAGGCACCACTATGACCCGGTCGTCCGTGTGGTCAACACGGAAGAGTGCCAAGAAGTGAGAAAAGCACCGGTCATTCCTCCGGAAGTTCCTACCGGTCAAACTGGGCGTCAGTGGTTGGGCACCTATTGTTCGTACCACAGGTCAGATTCCCATAGCACTTCCGAATGCAAGAGTGTTAGGGGGGTAATCCGGCAGATGATAGACAGCGGAGAACTGGGCAAGGATTATCTGCAGAAAGCCCAGGAGAAGAACCATCAATGGGTAAGGCCAGTAACCCAGGGAAATGGCCGGGACAATGACCGGCGGAGGAACAACCGGCAGAGGGAGCATCTGCCTGCCCCTGACAAAGAACATATTGGGATGATCTTTGGCGGACCCGAAGGAGGAGATTCAGCCGCGCAGCGGAAAAACTGGGTTCGCAGCATTTACGTTGGTGAGGTGAATGCCGAACCGGCCAGGCGTAAGTATCCTAGGAGGGAGCCGATCGTCTTCACTGACCGGGATCTCCCTCCTACCGGTGAAGATCACAATGATCCATTGGTCATCACCATGGACATTAATGGGGTGGATGTCGCCCGGGTACTTGTTGACACCGGCAGCAGTGTCAACATCTTATACCTGGAGACTTTCCAAAAACTCAGGTTGTGTCGGACACAACTTGAGCCCCTCAAAAGCCCTCTATCAGGTTTCACGGGAGATACAGTGGAGGCTGAAGGGTCCATAGTCCTACCGGTCGAACTAGGATCGGGCGAAAAAACCGTATGGAAGAAGATGCGGTTCATAGTTGTGGACATCAAATGCGTCCACAACGCAATCCTTGGAAGGCCGGGTATCAATAAGGTCGGGGCGGTAATTTCCATGCCTCACCTGTGCATGAAGTTCCACACTCCAGGTGGTGTGGGTGAGGTGAAAGGCTACCAGAGGAACGCCCGGGAGTCTTATGCCCGGGCAGTCAAGAAGATGACCAAGGGGGTCAATGTCATCTCCCAAGAGATCACAAAGGGAGAGACCCGGGAGAAATTGGAGCCCGAGGCCGAGACGGTGGAAATCGAACTTCACCCGGGTGATTCTTTAAGGATGGTCAGAATCGGAGCCAATCTCCCAGAAGACCTCAAGGCGGAGATTACACGGGTACTCCGAGAATACGCGGGCATATTTGCATGGAGCGTGGCAGATATGCCCGGAATCGACCGCTCAATCATCTGTCACCGATTGGCAGTGAGAGATGGAAGTCGACCGGTACGCCAGAAGAAAAGGTACCTGGCCAGTGACCGGCGGGACTTCGTCAAGAAGGAGGTGAAGGATCTCCTCAGTGTTGGTCACATTCGGGAAGTCAAGTACCCGGATTGGTTGGCCAACGTGGTTCTTGCTCCCAAGGGGGACACATGGAGAATGTGTGTGGACTACACGGACTTGAACAAGGCGTGTCCGATGGATTCATACCCCCTCCC